CTTATTGTTTTGTTTAGTATTTACTGAGTCTTTTATTGTTTTAGATGTAGTAGTAACAAATTGTATATTGTGTTTAGATAGATTCTTTCCATTTGTAGAGATGATAGAGTTAGTTGGTAAGATACTATATTTTTTTGATTCATTGGCTTTATTTGTGGGGCGTTTTTCTATTTTGGAATATTTTATGAGCTTTTGTTTCGCATTGAATATAAAATAATTAGACTACTGAAGAAGTTTGAAAGTGTTTGTAGTGTATTTTTCTTCTTGTAAATATTGAGGGCTGCAAATTTTGAGTGCTCTTAAGTAGAATCCAATGCTTATACCAGATTTTATTTTGTTGTTATGATGAGAATAGAAATTTATTAGATCGTTTTTGATTTCGGATGGACACCGAGTTTTAAACTGTTGTTAACGCAGTGAAGCTTCATATCTAGGAAAAGTAAAGAATTCTATTCTTCTATTTTTTATGTAAATTCTATTGTATGTTCGATTTTGTTTAGTTTATCTGCTAAGTCAGGTAAAACAGTATCACGAGGATATATTAATAGAGCGTCATCAATATATCGGAAATATGTTCATTGTTTGGGCAAAATATTTTGGGAAGAACCAGATTCGAGAAATTCTAAGAAGATAGATGCCATCACTCTGCTGAGAGGCGATCCTATTGGTAATTCAAATTTTTGTCTGTAAAACCATTATTAAATGTGAGGTAGCATTGATTGGTGGTGAGACGGCAGATTTTTTATTATTTCAGCTGTTGGTAGGGAGAGCTTTGCCTTTGATTGTGCTAGATACTTTTTTTTAGGAGATTTAGTAAATTTTCAACTGGGACGTTAGTGTAAAGGGATTTTATATCTAGACTAGCCATAAATTGGTTATGTTCATTTTCCTTAGTTTTTCAACAATGAGATGTTCTGATTGTTCCAAGGAGAGGAGTTAGAGTTTTGTTGTGTAATTGGCCAGTTTCTGTGTGTGTGTGTGTGTGTGTGTGTGTGTGTGTGTGTGTGTGGTGTGTGTGTGTGTGTGTGTGTGTGTGTGTGGGGGGCGCTGTCTATTCCTGGGATGATGGAGCACATCGGAATACCTACCTTGTGGGTTTTAGGGTGTACTAGTGTGATATTCTATGAGCCTATACCATGATTTGTTTTCATTTTTAATTAGTTTCCTTACCAATTTGTTAAATTTTTGTGTTCCAACAATTATATTCTGTTCGTTTATTTTTTGTATGTGTCGTATCCGTTGAGTAGTTAATTAATTTTTTTCCACGTAAGTATTGTTGTAAATGATCACAATCCCACCGCCTTTGTCAAAGGGAGTGACGTGGATTTCCTTATTTTTGCTAGGTTCCTTGGTGCATTTAGGTGTCTCTGTGGTAATGTATATTCCTTGTTGGTTTCTATAGCAGCAGTGGTTTCTATAGTAGCCTTGAATGAAACCTTTGGTAAATTCAGAGTCATTTTCTTTATGATTTTTTATTATAGTGTCAACTGTCTCCTTTACGTATTCCGGTGGCAAATTTTAAACCGAAGCTGAAGGCTTTCTGTTCTGTATTGGATAGCTTTATATCTGAAAGATTTTTTATTAGATCTGCCTTTTCAATATATTTCTACTTGCTTTTATTGCATTAAGTGTTCAGTTTTTGTATCAGTTTGTTGTTTTGGTTGTCACTTATTTGTTTTATTGTTTCTAGTAGTCGAACCATTTCCGACTTTGTTAGAACGTTTTTTTTTGTTTTTTTTTGTGGAGATGAAATTCAGCATTTCTGGCTTTTTTATTGGTTAGTTTTTCCAATTCTTTTAGTTCTTCAGTTGAAGACTTTAATAAATCTAATTCTGAGTTTAGAAATATGTGATTTGATGATTTTAGTATTTAGCATCTGTGTGCGTCGTAGGATGACTTTTTCTTCAATGCATTTCATTAATATTTTTTTCGGTTTCTAAATGAGTTGTCATACATTTTCCTCATCAATATATATATATATATATATATATATATATATATATATATATATATATGGTCGGTACGTACTACCATAGAACCCTCCGACCGGATTGGGGCCCCAGGCAGTGCTTTGTGATTCTCGCTATCTTGTCAATATTTGCTTTTTTCTACTTACATTTATATACGTTACAAATTAAAGGATGAAAAATTTTCAATGATTTTGACGTCATTCTAGTTTTTTTTCGTCCAAATCCGTGAATTTGTTTTGCACATGTCAAATAAAAAATTCACTATTTTTTATCCATAATGTTGAACGTGTTCAAATTCTTCAACTTTTTAACATGAAAAAAAGCTCAAGTTGATGTTAAAAATTACCACAAAACATTGACTTCCCCTTCCGTCAATTTAAGTGTTATTCGTCGAATCATTATCTGAATTACCAAAGTATTACATTTATTTCATTGATACTATATTAGTAATTTTAATATGTTGAAAGTCTTATTTTTTTCTGTTGTTCTGTGTATCAGGCACTTCATATTTTCACACACCCTGAAAACTTTTCCATTAATTTCTTATTGCATTTGATTTAAATAATATTGTATAATGTGAGTAATAATAATTATTACAATAACTTGTATTGCAAATACAAATTAAAATATGTGTCATTAATAATAAAAATTGATAATATTTTTACCTCATCATTTTGTATCATGAACGGCTTTTAAAAGGAATCCAACGAGTTTATGTGTGGTCTAGTATTTATTAAACACTCAATGACACGTTATGGGAACAACAATGTCCTTGCCTAGTTCGTTAACCATAACGAGTATTTGACTCTCTTTGGCAGGAACAGTTTGCTTGACTGTTTCCATAACGCATATCGGTTTTAACATGACAGTAACTGTCTTCTTGATTCGTTCGTTAACCATAACTAGTATCGGAGTCACTATGACAGCGACAATGTACTTGTTTCCCTCTTTAACCATGAGTATCGGAGTTACTATGGCAGCGCTGATATGATTACCTGGCTCGTTAACCATAAAGGGTATTGAATTCACTTTGGCATGGACAGTGTCCTTGATTTGCTCGTTAACGCTAATGTGTGTCGGACTCACTATGAAAGTAATAATGTGCTTGATTAGCTCGTTGGCCATTACTTTATAATGAGATAGCCTTGATATTAATTAATCTTAGCTTAGTCTTGAACAAGACCGCTAGAGTATTATATCTCATAAGTACCAACGGTAGTGAAGTTTGGAGAGACTGTCTTGCTAATCATTGTTCCAAACTTTTTAAAATGCTGATTGAAGATAAATTTGAAAAACTCTGAATATATATTACAATTTATTCATTATCAATGTGTAACAGAGAATCGGGTCAGCCCGATAAAAGACTTCGAATTGGTTGTATGTGTTGCTGTAAGCACCAGGAGTTGTGTCCCCTTCCGCAATGGGCTGTTGCGATAAGACCTTCTACTTAAAGTAGGTGGTGCTGATTATTTGCATATGAACGATACTGGGCAGGCATCAGCCAATAGTCAGCGTGGGTCTGAGACTGGGAGAGCTATATAACACCAGTGTTTTTGTCAGTTAAGAGAGTCGTTCTGAACGTGCGGACGTGCAAAAACCAGACAAGACGAATGCACAATGTTAATGGGATTGGTTATATCAGCCGTTTCCTTATAAGGAAATATTCGGTATCCATTGACCGAGCAGACAGTGCAACTCTTGGTTGAAATTTATAAAATCTTTCTCTCAGAACAATTTTTCAGGAAAATAGGTTTCTCAAATCCAGTAGCTGTTAGCGCTCTTTCCAGTATCAATAGTGGGTTTCCTCCCTAACTTTTTGTTTGAAGTTCTGTGGAATGTCAACATTTTGATTATATGTCTTTAGTTTTTGTTCGTGTTACGTGCGATATTCCATTTTAATTGTCACTGTTGTTGAAAGTCTTTAAATGATTTTGTTCCTGTCATTTGGTATCTTTGTGATTCTGTAGCGATGTTCGAAGAAAGATGGTCCTCGCTAAGACCTGCAAACTTCATTCGCTGGAAGCCATTTTTAATAAACGCAGAGGTAATAATTATATATACAGATCAGTGGTCACGGCTTCCAAAATAAAGGGTGCACCAATTGTACTTCGGCCCTATATCGATACACTGTATACCCTTCTTGGAGATGAAAACAGGTTTGTAATCTGATGCAAATGGCTAACGCCATCCCGCGAATTGTTATTTCACTTATCTATATTGTATTAGGGCTAACTGAACAAGTTACGTATTGTCCCACCATGTCTCATACACGTTCAATGTTGGACAGGAAACTGTCGAGAATCTTGCAAAGAACTTTGACTAGCACGGGCATCACAGAGGCGGGCATTATTCTGCTGGAACAGCGCACTGTCTTTTCTGCTGCATGGAATGTCGATAGAAGAACTGAACTGTATCCTGGACGTCCAGAGTGCTACTCAGCATTCACCCCATATATACCAAAAGCGGGTAATTGTCTGTTATGGCAACTTATACCATGATGCGAGAGATTGAAGTTATGGGTCGGAGGCGAAGACCTTCTAAATCGCACACGTAAGCGAGCGTCATTCATATGAAAACAGAAACCTGCTTTCATCACCGATCACATAAAGAGCGCCATTCATTAACCAGTTGACCCACTTGCAATACCGCGGGGGACTTGCACGACGGTCTTGTGGCGTAAGTGGATATCTGGCTAGGGGCATGTAAATGATTCCCAACGGTCTTAATTTATATTTCTGGGGTTGAATTTGCCCTGATTTGTGTTTTAGACGTTGTACGGTCTGCCACTTTTGCTACATAGATATGAATAAAAAGATTTGAAAAGATCGATCGATAGATAGATAGTTATGAAAGGACTGTGATAGATAGATAGATAGATTGATAGATAGATAGATATGAAAGGATAGTGATAGATAGATAGATAGATAGATAGATAGATAGATAGATAGATAGATAGATAAATGGATTAGATAGATAGATATGAAAGGATTGTGATAGATAGATAGATAGATAGATAGATAGATAAATGGATTAGATATGAAAGGATTGATAGATAGATAGATAGATAGATAGATAGATAGATAGATAGATAGATAGATAAGGATTGTGATACATAGATAAATGGATTAGGAGATAGATAGATATGAAAGGATTGTGATAGATAGATAGATAGATAGATAGATAGATAGATAGATAGATAGATAGATAGATAAGGATTGTGATAGATAAATAGATAGATAGAGAGATAGGTTGATATGATATGTAGGTTGATATATAATATGTAATGAAAAAAAAACGGAATATAGATTTACTGACAACATATTCACTGAGGATTAAGTAACCAAACGATTATATTGCCAGGTGATGTGTTTACCATGATAGATGTTTCTGTTTTCATAGACACGGGGGAGATAATTGTATTCACATGGCTACCGATCTCTCGGTTCTGATAGACATTATTATCTTATATTTAACCCTTCTTAGTACTTTCTGAAAACCATACAAATTTCCATCATGGCGTTTCGTGTAGACACATTAATATAGGTGGGGCGCTCTAAAAAAACTAATACCGTTTACTTAGTTCACGATAACTAAAAGAGATTGTGGCTCACCCCCACTTGTTTCGCCAAGTTGACGTTAGATGGCGTTGTTAAACTGTTATAATAATGGGACACGCATTTCTCTTTTCCTTCTGGCGCGCAGTAGAAGTAATAGCAGCACGGGAGGTGTTACCTGCCTGCAGGATACCTTTCTCTGGGATGACTGAACTTTTTCACACACACACACACACACACACACACACACACACACACACACACACACACACACACAGATGTATCATCCACAAAATTTCTAAATTTATTTGTCTTTCTTTTAAGCCAAATTTCCATACATATTAGTGTATTTTTTCTCCGTAGTGAGCCAATTATGTGTATGAAATGAGATACAGAATCCAGGCAAAGTTTGAATTATATAAAAATTGAAGATTGTTTCATTTAGATTTGATCACGCATTTCCCCTTACTAGGCTTCGATCAAAACAGAAAATAAGAAATATGTGTGTGTATTTGTGTGTATGTTTAGATAATAAGTACTTTCTTATCTAAGCTGGCATTTTTCGTAATGAAAGAAAAGAATGAAATTGTGTGATATTCTCCTCAAAAAAGTCATTCACTTTCACTCTCAGTAACACCTTGCTTCTTAATGACATTATCACCATCTTCTGTCTTCCTGGACCCTTTTACTTTCTTGTTCTTTCTCTTCACTACTCCTCACTAAAGTCTTTCCATTCTCTTTCAGTTTCAGTAACCAAAGACATTATGACCATATTCTTTCTTCCAGAAACCTGTTCCTTTATTGTCCTAAAGTCTTCTCTTTCTTTTTAACTCTCAGTAACCCCTTGCTTCTTAGTGACATTATCGCCATCTTCTGTCTTCCTGGACACTGTTCCTTCATTGTCCCTTCTCCTCACTAAAATTTTCACATTCTCTTTCACTCCCAGTAACACCTTTCTTCTTAGTGACATTTTCACCATCTACTGTTTTCCTGAACCCTTTTCATTTATTCCCCTTTTTCGTTGCTTGGGATAAAATGAGTAAAAAATGTCTTAGAGCTGTTGTTGCCTGTTGGAGTTATCCCAGCACAACTAGAATGTGTTCTGTTGATATATATATATATATATATATATATATATATATATATATATATATATATATATATATATATATATATATATATAGTGATACTGATAGGTTTTAATGTAGTGACTCCTGTAAATTTGTAAATAAATTCCTTATCTTGTTTTGTTAAAATTATATGTGTGCTTCCCCGTTATTATCCGTGTTCATGAACCTTCTTGGCATGGGTAAATCAATTGGGCCTTTCAACCCCTAAACCGTATCAGTCGACAGCAGGTAGAATCTACTCACCTGACATCTCAACTTCTGTCATTTTCTCACTGATGTGAAATGGTTTCGCCTTGTCCTCTTCTACAAATATTTCGATGGCATTTGTCCTGATCTATTTTCCCCAGTGCCACGACTGCATGAATTTAAGTGTGATACTAGATTGGCAAGTAGGTCTCATTGTTGAACTAACTAGATGCAAACATCATTTTTATTCTAATAATTTGTTTTTTCTCTTGCACTTCTCAATTCTTCTCACGAAAGTCTTCTCTTTCACTCTCTGTAACCCACTGCGTCCTCATGGCATTGTCGCCTTGCTTGGGGTAAATTGATTAGGAAAAAGAAATGAAAAAATAATAAATATTGAGAAAATGAAAAAAAAAAAAAAGATATATACTGGGAGTGAAAGAAGGAAGAACGAAAAATTAAAAAATCAGAAAAGAAAGAAGGAAAGTAAACCAGAAAGAAAACAAGAAAATACAAAGATGGAATGGGAGAGGACAATATGGATAGAAAGAAAAATTACAGACGGATAAAAAATTCATAAACGAAGGTGAAATAAAGAAATTCAAATAAATGAAAATAAATGGCGGCTCGTGGGAGAGACGAATAAAAAAGATTTTAATGAACAAAATGAAAGAATCAAAACGAAAGCATTGAGAAGAAAACGAAAGAAGTGAAAGAAGAAAGAGAAAAAGAAAGTTTGCAATAAAGATGAAGCAAGAGAGAATGAAAGGTAGAGAATAAGATGAATGAGAGACAGAAAGGAAGCAAGGATGCGTGAAAGATAGAAAAAGACAGATAAAGGAAAGGTAGAAGGTGTTTGAGAAGAAAGAAAGAAAGAAGATAAAAAGAAAGAAAGAAATTGAGAGGGAAGATGGGGAAAGCAACATAAATGAAAGAAAAATGGATTGAGAAAGAAAGAAAGAAATTGAGAAAGAAGTTGGAAGAACAACATAGATTAAAGAAAAATGGAAGGAGAAAAAGAAAGAAAGACAGAAAAGAAACTGAGAAGAAGTTGGAAGAGCAATATAAATGAAAAAGAAATGGGAGAAGTAAAGGAAGGAAAGAAAGAAATTGGTAAAAGAGATGTGGGAGAGAAATAGAAAGAAAGAAAGAAAGAATTTGAGAAAATAATATAAATGAAAGAAAAAATTAAAGCAGAAAAGTTAGAAAATAAAGAAAGAAAGAAAGAAAGAAAGAAAGAAAGAAAGAAAGAAAGAAAGAAAAATTGCAAGTTCAAAATAAATATGCAAGACAATGGAAATAGAAAAGAAAGAAAGAAAGAAAGAAAAAGAAAAAAAGAAAGAAAGAAAGAAAGAAAGAAAGGAGGGAGGTAGGAAGGAAAGAAAAATTGCAAGTGTAAAATAAATATGCAAGACAATGAAAATAGAAGTGGGGAGAAATAAATAAATAAATAAATAAATAAATAAATAAAGAAAGAAAGAAAGAAAGAAAGAAAGAAAGAAAGAAAGAAAGAAAGGAGGGAGGTAGGAAGGAAAGAAAAATTGCAAGTGTAAAATAAATATGCAAGACAATGAAAATAGAAGTGGGGAGAAAGAAAGAAAGAAAAAGAAAGAAAGAAAGAAAGAAAGAAAGAAAGAAAGAAAGAAAGAAAGAAATTTGAAGGGCATGAATAAAAACGAGAGAAAATAGGAAAAGAAAATTTGAAAAAGAAAAAATAAATTGGAAGAATACAAAGAAGGATACAAAAATTAAAATCACAATGATAAATTTCAAAAGAAGAAATAAAGAAATCTCAATGAAAGTAGAGGAAGGAAGAACGAAAGAAATGAATGAAAAGCAGCGAAAAAATGTAACAGTGAAAGAACAATGGAAATAAAAAGATGGAACAAAAAAAAAAAACAAGCCGTAAAGAAAAAGGTAAGAAAATAAAGAATTCAAAGAAGCAAGAAAGAAAGAGATTTCTCGCCCGAAGAGAAATTCTGACAGAGGTAGCAATGGGTGTTGATTTGTTATTGAGGAAATTCAAGTCAGCAAAGGCGAGCAAAAAAGCAAACAAACAACATTCGATGAACGCTTGCCAAGTGATCCGGCAATTTGCGTCGACATTAAAAAGGGAATTATGACGTTCTCTCAGATTAGTTGCTCCACCAGCGTCCGACCTTGCAACTACTGGTTGCCGGCATCAAGACGAGGCACGTGATGCCAAACCAGTTTCTTTTTTTCTTTCTTTTTTTATCAATCCCGCCAAAACTAGTTGGGCGATGGCTACCATCTCGAATGGATGATCATCTGTGTTAGCCAAGGACAAGGTTAATTTATAAAATCTTGTGCGTCCTTCCACTCCTCCCATTTTTACTCATCCTTACACTTTCCCCTCTTTTTCACTTACGCACCTCGCTCTCCTTCTCCTACTAGTCCTCCTCCTCTGCAAAACGGATCGGTAACGGCGGATTTCAATTGTTTACAGTACACAGTTAATGATGATGAAAAAAAATGAAAGAAAACAATTAACAGCCACTAAGATGTAAACATAGATAGATAGATAGATAGATAGATAGATAGATAGATAGATAGATAGATGAGATAAGATATGAACAGGCTGAGTTAGATATGTAGATAGATAGATAAATGAGATAAGATATGAACAGGCTGAGTTAGATATGTAGAGATAGATATGAACAGGCAGATAGATGCATATGAAAAGGGCGAGATAGATAGATAGATAGATAGATAGATAGATAGATAGATAGATAGATAGATAGATAAATGAACAGAATGAGATAGATAGATAGATAGATAGATAGATAAATAAATAAATAAATAAATAAATAAATAAATAAATAATGGTTACTGAGGAATAGATAGATAGATATGAACACTAACGGGGATACCCGCCGTTGCTCGGAAGATATCTGAGAAAAGTTTATTATTTACAATTTTTTTCTGCCATCTTATGGAAAATATTTTTTTATTCAATCTTTAAAAAATAAACTTCATTTTTTTATTTTTGGTTTGTTACAAAATAACTAAATTTTGGGAAATATCACACTACCAATCCCACGCTGGGGGTGGGGGCTTAAGGAGATGTGTATCCCCATATTTTTCTTCAAAAAGACACTTTATTTTTGGATTTAAAATATACTAACATAAATACTCTGTTGATGTTTTCAAACAAATCAGATTTAGATAAAAGTTCATTAACCCTTTTTTCAAATTATTATTAATAAAAAAGTAAATAAACTTAAATTTAATTTAATCATTTTTCACGTAAAAAATATAACGAGCCTTCTTCGAAAAATAATTATTTATTATTCATTTTTGAGGGAATGTAGATTTTTTTCAAGTAAATAAAGTTTTACTTTTAAAACATTAATTACAAATTGTTTTGAAAGAGAGTTGAAGTAAGTTACATTGAGAATTTGGTTTTGAAAAGAGATTATGTTTACATTTCATTCAATATATATTTGTATTTGAAAAGAAAAAATTTAGTCAAATAAAAATCAGCAGAGACAGACGGTCAACAATATTTGTTTTACAAATTTAACCATATTTTATTTAAATTAATTTTCGAAGAAATAAGGCTCACTATAGTTTTTTGCTTTAATAAAATTTAATTGAAAAATTATTTACTTTTTTACGTTAGTTACAAACCAAAAAAACAATGAAGCTTATTTTTAAAGATTGAATAAAAATGATTTTCCATTAGATTAGACGGCACACAAAAATACACACACACACACACACACACACACACACACACACACACACACACACACACACACACACACACACACACACACACACACACACACACACACACACACACACACACACACACACACACACACACACACACACACACACACACCTGCCCTTTAGGATGATGCTGAGTCTGTATATTTGTTTTGTAGCCGGACACAGACACACATACATACACTCGAATATTTAAATAAATAAATATTAAAGTTTTTGTCAAATAATTGTATTTAATGTTCTTCTAATTTTTAAAATTACGTTTTTATTTACTATAATTGTGAAAATAAATTCAAGAGAACAAAAAATTTTAAATATACATTTATAGCGTTTTTAGCAGATTACCTTCCGTTTTTACTTTATAGTAAAAACGTACGGTAATCCTATTGGGGAATAAGAATTATTACCGTTCGTTTTTACTTTTTAATTCTGAAAATGTTGACTTCATTATGCATATCAATTTTAAAATATCTTCGTAAATACAAATTATACGATGATAACTTTTTTTTTTTTTTTTTTTTTTAGAAAAAGCTGGCTTGGGTGATAATGAGTCTGGATATAAATTTACTTTGTCATAAATTACTGTAGTTTTTTTTTTGTTTTAGCCGGACACACACGTAGAAACAACTGCCCTTTATATATGTATATAGATAGATAGATAGATAGATAGATAGATAGATAGATAGATAGATATGAAAAAACTGATAGCTAGACAGTCACGGACTGGGTCTAGAAATATTGTTTTTCAGGAGACAAAAGGAGCCCATTCACAACTTCAATGCTATCAATTAATTTTCATAATGAATAAATAACATTTTGAAAAAAATACATATGGAAAAAAAGGCTATAATTAAAAATTTTAGTGGAAAAAATGTGTCTTTCTTAGTAATTACTGTGTACATAAACTGTACATATTACTGGCAGTAGATACAAAATGCAAATTTTTTTTTAATCGATTCACCCCAAGCAAGGCGCGAAGCCACTAGAACGCCAGGGGGTTACAGAAGATTTGTAGCGAGAGCAGGTAGGAGTGACAGAGGAAAGGATGAGAAGGATAGTGGATAGATCAAGGCAACTGGAGATGTCGATTGACATTACATTTGAATAGTTGGAGATTATAGCTGTCAGGGAAACAGGAATAGAGAAAGGTGCGAGATATGAAGCTATTGAAGTAGAAGAGACGGCTACATTTAACAGTTTCAACAGTGAAAGGGTGAGAGCGGGATGCCATCCTCGTAGGACGCTTGAATTCATGAAGTCTGGGAACCAGCGAAAGCACCTCATCGGAGCAATTACCATGAAAGTATTTGTTAAAAAGACAGAGAGAGGCGACGGCGCGTCTGTGCGAGATCGACCGCGGACGAGATGCCAGATCAGGGTCAATTACATTGCATATCCGTCTCTGAATCTTATCAAGAACCCCGAGGCAAACAAAAGAAGCTCCAGACCATATATGACAGCAATACTCCATGCAAGGGCGAATGGTTGATTTGAAGGATTCAATTCCGGGGAGAAAAATTTCCTGGCGCGGCATAGGGAGCCAACTTTCCTTGCGGTGGACGAAGCAATTGACTCAATGTATTTGTTCCATCTCAGGTCAGTAGTCAACGTGAGACCGAGCATCCGCAGAGAGGTGCTCTCGAGAAGTTGAGCGTCAGACATTCTAATGGAGGGCAGGGAAGGATCTCTGTGGTGGTTAATAGAGAGCAGTTTTGTTTTTGAGACGTTAAAGTTAAACAGCCAATTACTGCCCCAGTTCACAATCGATTGGAAGTCCTTTTCGAGACGAACGGCCAGGTTAGTTTTGTCAGCGACACTAGATTTGTTTTTGAGGCAGGGGTAAATTGTAGTGTCGTCTGCGTAGATGCCAACTTGGGAATCTATGGCGTCAGGAAGATCGTTGATGAAGATAAGAAACAGAGTAGGGCCAAGGATGGAGCCTTGAGGAACACCTGCGTTCGTGGGATAGGAGCTCGAAGATAATCCGTTGAGAACGACCTTCAATTCACGGTTTGATAGGAATGATTGTATTAGGTCAAACAACTGACCTGTAATACCATAACCCTGGAGCTTGCGAAGAAGGCCGGCATGCCAGACCCTATCAAACGCTTTGGAGAGGTCTAGGGCCACGGCAAGGGCTTCTCCGTTTTTTTGAAGAGCTTGGTAGACAATTTCAGTGATGGCCGTAAGCACATCAGCTGTAGATCGGGCATAGCGGAAACCATATTGTTTGTCTGAGAGCAGATCATGGGATGTAAGGTGGTTAACCACCTCGGCGTTAATTAGGAGGGTAGGAGACTGATAGGACGGCAATTAGAAGGGTCAGAAGGGTTGTCAAAGTTCTTAAAGACAGGAACAAATCGATGAGGACTTCCAGCAGTCTGGAAAACAAGATTCCTTGAGGCAGTAGTTTTATAATTTGGAGAGGGCGGGCGCCAGTTCAGGCGCGCATATCTTCAAGACAATAGCTGGTGTCCCATCTCCACCACTAGCCTTGTAGGGGTCTAAGTTAGAGATAATGCCCAATACCAATGACGGGGTTATGTGCAACCCACTCAACAGGGCCTCAGTTCTAAGAGGGAAATCGAGTATGGGTACACCGGAAGAGACGAGCGTTGAATTGGATGAAAATTTCCGAGCAAAGCATTCAGCTTTGTCGGTAGAGGAGGTCAGGACCTCAAAATACGGAATGTTATAATTTAATTTATTTTAAGTGATTGGCTGATATTTCAAATAGTTTACTGTACAATTTACACATTAACAGATAGCTCAAAAACACAATAGAGCACTGCATGCAGTCCTCTATATTATGAGCAACCGTTTGTACTCACAAGATGATTGTCAGAATCTGCTAATAATTGCTTCTGCATCCAATTCATCAAACAATTCTTTTCAATGGATAACAACATTTATGATTCCTAATTCTCCTCGGACATCAAAATTCTTGTCTTTGTGATCTTTAGCTTTGAAAATGTCCTCTCACATTGGATTTGTTTAATTGATAGAGTGCATCTGACTTTTAAAAGTTCTTATTTCTTTTTATTACTAAAAAAATTGTCTGTGTTTTTTTCTTTATTGCATTTTTATTCGATATAGATGGGATTTCCATCTGGGACCCAACTGCTATCGAGCAAGCTAACATCCTGGTCAGTTCGCCACTGTAGATACATAGATATGAACAGAGACAGACAGATGGGTAGACAGATAAATAGACAGATAGATAAACAGCGAGATAGATAGATAGATAGATAGATAGATAGATAGATAGATAGATAGATAGATAGATATAAACATTGTTTCCGTTTCATTCTCTTGTCGCCATTATTTTCTGCGAATGTTAAATTCTCTAAGCTCTCTTTCCTCATTATTTGACCTAGAATTTTCAACCGTCTCTTTCCGATCGTAATTATAATGTGGCTTCCGGTAAGCAAGGTTCTATTAGCTTTTAATTTGCCTCGCTAGATTGCGAAGCTGTTCGTGGCCGAGCAGTCAAAGCACGCTCGATCAGACGGTGATTCTCTCTGGAAAAGGGTATGGAGTCCAACCGGAGGAACAACTTTTCTCAAGTACGCAAGCCGGTAGACGAAATAGATACCGTTTAAAATAAATGGAACGTCTACTTAAATACGGGCATCTACTAAAAATAATTATTTCGACCTTGCTTGATCGGCGACGTCCGTCGAGGCCGAGTCGATCAAAAGCACGTCAGATCCAATGACGGTTTCTCCTGCAAAGGAGGACGCAGGTTCAGATCCTGCCGGAGGAGGATTCTTTATCATTAATAAAAATTATCGAATATTCAGGCTGGTAGACGAAAATAAATACCTGTTTGCAAAATAAATGTGACGTCTATTCAAATAAGAGTATCCACTAACAAGAACGGTTGAAGTGATAAAATAATCCGTTTAAGTAAAATGGCAATTTGTCAGTAAGTAACCTTTCTCCATAAAAACAGGTTGTAGGATGGTTCATTTTTAAAAATCTGGCGCTAAATATACCTGAAGATATTTTCTTAAGTGTTGATATTTCCGATTTGACATTCAATAAATTATTGGGCTTTGGATATGTTGTTAAGCCAGTTTTACTTCCATGCAAAGTATACAAAACCTGTTTCTAACTTTACAATTGTGTAGCGTGGTTGTTAGTTTATTAAATACTTTCAGTTTTATATATATATATATATATATATATATATATATATATATATATATATATATTTAATATTTATATATATATATATATATATATATATATATATATATATATATATCCAGAACAAGATAAATACTTAAATAAAAGATTAGACCTCATTTCCAAATGTAGAGATAAAAACAAATTTCTACTACGTTACCCAAAACTACATCATCACTAAGTTAAATCTCTTAACCTAATTCTAATAAACTTTATTCAAAATGCTAAAATTTAGAAGGAAAGAAAGGTTATTTTTGTTTGACAAGTATTTTCTGGTTAATTCAAACTTTTCTGATGAAGACGTTGAAATACCGACTATTTATTTTTTTTAATCATTTCAGTCTAAGCAAGGTAACAAAGCCACTAGGACGCAAGGGGGTTGCTGAGTGCTAAAGAATATGAGAAAAAGTACTATTAAGGAGAAAGGACAATACAAAAATGAGAAGACAGAAGATAACGATTGACATTGCATTTAATTATTTTAAGATCAAAGTTGACTGGGAAGCAAGAAGTAGGAAGAGAGCTCTACAAGCGAGAAGTGCAAAATTATGTCAAAATTAATACGAGTCAAAAAGAAAAAGGAAGATTTTTGAAATTATGACTTGTCAGCCTCAACCTCCTGACATCTCTTCCATTAAAATTTATGGGATGAAATGGAGAGGAGAGTTCGAAGAGAATATCCAATGCGTAAGAGTGAGCTTTTTCAGTGCTTGAAGAATGCTTAGGAAAGGTCTGCTATCTACGAAGAATGTGTAAACCAGTAATTAAACCAGGTGTTCATTTTATTGACGAAAACAAAATATAACGCTGTTGTATGATAATTTTATATAGTTAAGTGCTTACTTTGTAAAAGCAGATACACTGTATTTAGTGAAATTGCTTTACTTAAAAAAATTACAGAAATAGCACATTTTATTTTGATTTTTTAAAAAAAATTTCAGTGTGTGTCTATATATTTTTATATATATATATATATATATATATATATATATATATATATATATATATATATATATGCGTGTGTGTGCAGGTAAAAATTTCAGATAAAGTATATCTGTAAAAGGACAATATCATTAAAGATAAAAGGAAAACTTATATTAGCCCACGTGTTTCATCCTCTGAAAGACTTTATCATGGCAAATATAAGGTTTTTAATTTATGACAAATATTTATTTATAAGAACACAATTTTTTATTTGTTTTTCAACATTTTTGGTATAGGAGTGCTCGTGAATATTCATCAGGTTGGAAGAAATAGTAAAGCATGTTCATGGACGCGAGGTAATACAGTTCAATGACTAACACACACACACACACACACACACATATATATATATGAGTTGAAAATCAAATATAGATCATATATGCATAGGAATCCGACAAGATGATAAAATAAAATAAAGAACAAGTAGGAAATCTAACAGGTTTCACTTTTATTAAAGCTTCGTCAGCGATCGAGATAGAAATGAAAAAAAGCAAAGCGACACAGACTATTGCTATATTATGATCTTTGGTTAGTTCTTATTGGTCAGATTCGTGTCACGTGTGTTAACGCAATAAATAATGTATAAATATGTATGAGGAACATTTTGGCTATTATATTTGTATTGTCTACGATTATGTTGCGAATGGAGTTTGGTAGGTCTCCGTGTATATTGAGAGAAAAACATTTGTTGATGGTATCTATTCCTACTCAGTTTCATATGGCAAAATCAACGTTCTACATTATTCTTATAAATAAAGTAACGATCATGTCTTTCCTTCCCCTTTTCCAAACAATAACATCTCTTTCCTTCCCCTTCCACTTACGCCATAAACTCTCCTACTTATAGGTATGGTAATATTGAAGTGTTTGTCTATATTTTATCTGTTTGGTATTGTTTTTTTTTTCTTAGATTTAATGATTTTTATTAGTTTTATTAGTACTGTTGTTAAAGTTTAAATAAGCAATCTTCTTTGGACCAGGAACGGATTAATCCATTTTACATTGATTCCTATTGGAAAAGTAGTTTCAGTTTACGAACATTTCGGGTTACGAACGGGCTTCAGGAACGAATTAACTTCGTGAACCGAGGTTCCAATATATATATATATATATATATATGTGTGTGTGTGTGTGTGTGTGTGTGTGTGCGTGAGTTGAAGATCAAATATAGATCATATATGGATAGGAATCCGACAAGATGATAAAATAAAATAAAGAACAAGTAGGAAACGTGTCTCAATCTAACATATTTCACTTTTATTAAAGATTCGTCAGCGTTCGAGATAGAAGTGAAAAAACAAAGCGGCACAGGCTATTGCTATATTATGATCTTTGGTTAGTTCTTATTGGTCAGATACATGTCACGTGTATTAAAAAAATATGTGACGAACATTTCGGATCAGGCTATTATTTGTATTGTCTACGATTATGTTGCGAATGGATTTGGTAGGTTCCGTGTATATTGAGAGAAAAACATTTGTTGATGGTATCTATTCCTACTCAGTTTCATATGGCAAAATCAACGATCTACATTATTCTTATAAATAAAGTAACGATCATGTCTTTCCTTCCCCTTTCCCAAACAATAACATCTCTTTCCTTCCCCTTCCACTTACGCCATAAACTCTCCTACTTATAGGTATGGTAATATTGAAGTGTTTGTCTATATTTTATCTGTTTGGTATTGTTTTTTTTTCTTAAATGATTTTATTAGTTTTATTAGTACTGTTGTTAAAGTTTAAATAAGCAATTTCTTTGGACCAGGAACTTAATCCATTTTTTGATTCCTATTGTAGTTTCTTACGAACGGGCTTATTTAACTGCGGAACGAGGTTCCAATATATATATATATATATATATGTTTGTGTGGTGTGTGTGTGTGTGTGTGTGTGTGTGAGTTGAAGATAAATTTAAATGAGAATCCGTGAAAAATAAAATGAAAGAATTGTCAGAGAGATGTCTCAATCTAACATATTTCACTTTTATTAAAGATTCGTCTTGTTAAAAAACAAAAGCGGCACAGGCTATTGCTATATTATGATCTTTGGTTAGTTCTTAATTCATGAAAATAGATGATTCTCTGTGCAAACATTTGGATCAGGCTTTATATTTGTATTGTCTACGATTATTTTGCGGACGGAGTTTGGTAGGTCTCCGTGTATATTTAAATGAGACGTAATTGAGCTATTGTCAGAGAGATGTAACGCGGTCGTCTTGTTATACATGCTGTAGTGAATTCATGAAAATATTGGTTCTCTGCAATTTGGATCCTATTATTGCTGACAATGAGGTTAGCAGTTTTAAAATTTTTATCGTAGATAATAATTTTATATATTGAAGCAAGTAGTTAAAAATATGCTGCCTAAATATGCATATTTTAAACTACATTATCCAGCAGCTCACCACGATACCAACACTTGGCAATTCAAACATAACTTTTTGAAGAGACAGATTGAAATAGCCAGAGACAACTTAAAAGCTCTTAACCAAAACTACGGCGACTTTCTTACTCGGTTTTGTAACAGAACTAAGAAATTGATCCATGAATCTGAGAGGATTAAAATAAAATGAATAAACATAATATGTCGAGATTATTTAACTTAACATGCTTGAATGAGATATGCTGAATGAGATATGCTGCATATATATATATATATATATATATATATATATATATATATATATATAAACATGAGAACTCTTATGTAGCGATGGGATCATATTTTTAAATAAATAATTATATTTATGCTATACTTTTGTATCGAACACTATTTTTAAAAAATAATAACAAAAATACTAAAGAACTTTGGATTATTTACCTAACGAGTTCTTTCCTATTTTTTATATATTTTCACACACACACACACACACACACACACACACACACACACACACACACATATATATATATATATATATATATATATACTGAGCTGTGTGACCATCAAGATGTAGGTCAGCTTATCGGGTTCCCCTTCTCTCCCCCTGCCCACTCCTACCTTAATCAGTCAGTTACGTGCCATGTGTGATACACGCATAGGCGATCATGTATCATTCGATACATGACTGACGAGGCAGATTTTTGCCGCAGTAGGTTGCCATTTCTTTCTGCGGTAGAC